TAAACGAAACTTAAAATCAGCGAACGAAATTAGAAATATATTTTACTAATGATAATTATATTGCAGTCTGTATCTGTTTAAATAAATAAATAAATTTTGCTGTTATATTAACTTTTGTAACAAATTACTTAAAAATTTGCAGTTTTTATCTAACTTCGCGATTATTACACTTGAGTAGTGAAATATGAAGATAATTTATAATTTTAACAATTCAGCATTTGTTTAAACAAAAAATTGTTGTTATTTATTAATTCTTAAGACAATAAAGCATCTAGACACTTGTAGTCTTTTAAAGTTTTGCAATTAACTAATCTGAGTATTTACTTATTGCAAAATTAGAAAAAACTGCTAGTTTCTAGGTTGATTGTGTAAAAAGTTAGTAAATAACAATTATTTGTTTAAACAATTGCTGAATTAATAAATTAATAAATTAACTTTATTTTATAGTATTTGTATAATTTTCTGATTTATGTCAAACAATAAATTGTTTAAACAAATATGATTATCAATTAATTTTATAAATATTAATTGAGAATATTTATCAATTTTTACATGTTTTTCATGTATCAATTTTGACACTTTATTTTCCTAAAAATTTTTCTAAGTCATAACTGGATCTCCTAGCTAGTACCAAGTTAGGACCAGCCCAGGATATATAAAAAGGGGTTGCCAAGTTAGGTCCAAGCTAGGGCCAATAATCATTTTAGGCATAGCATGGTGATTTCTACACGGGATACATATTTTATTAACAACATAGCGCTGATTTGAAATCTATTTGAAAAAAAGTTTTTGAACTATTTTGACTTTAAGAATTCAAATACAAAAAGGAAAAAGATGAACAACAAAAAGTGTTACCATAAAAAGTGTAGTAGCAAGCAAATAAATGTATAGCATCAAGCAAATAAAATTATTCAAATAGATCTATAAATTATGGAACATTGAAACAAAGTATATTCTCTATATTTCTATTAATCAAACCAAATTATTATAAATTGCAGTACGCTTTGCTTTAAAAAAATGTTTATATTCAATGAAAACCTTCGAATAATTTCACCCAAATGGTTATTTATTTTTCGCCCTATTGCTCATTGTAAAAGGCTAACGCTAAGGGCAGTCCAACGTAACGAGAGAGTGCACTTTGTGATAGAGCTTTAAGCATCTAATCTGCAATAACAAGCTCTTCCAGACTAGCACACAATCGTGTTAAGCTTATCATGAGGAGAACAAATATGATGCAAAAAAATAACTAAAAAACATTACTCTCCAATGGATAAATATTCCATTTTTCCAATATAAAAACCATTCTCGCCTTCTAATAACAGCAAACATAGTCCTTCAACTAATTTCATATATATACTTCAAGTTATTATTCACTGTAATAAACTGAAAAGTTTTTATATAAATTTAATTAAAGAACTGTTGAAGGATTTTTATCAAACCAGCTAAACAAACTGACGTAGAATGGAATTAAAAAAGTTAATCCTATTTTATCCCGAAAATTTACCTTTTGTTAATCCCACTAATAAAATAAAAATTTGTAAATTTCTATTTAATTTAATTTACTTGAGACTAAATACAAACGGAAATTTATTAATTTAAGCATTAAAAGGTATTAAAGATTTTATATTTTTTTCCAGTTTGGGAATAATAGAAAATATTTAACGCTACTTCTTCTAAAAAGGGCGTTCCATGTGCAGGGCGAATTCTGAATCTGAGATTTTCTTCATAATTTGCCATTTTGTTGTCCTAATGGTCATTTAGTTTTTAAGTTTTTCAGTTTAACTTTTTTATGAACATTTTATAACCTTTTTCATCAACGAGTATATTTATAAATAACATAAGTTTCCAGGATGAACCCCAAAAACTAATGTCAAATTGGGTTCGAGGACGTTGACAATAATTGTTTTGAAATTTATCGTAAATCCTAATTATAGTTGTCAACCTCCTCGAACCCAATCTGACATGAGTTTGGGGGTGCATCCTGCGGATGTATATGTATATCATATCATCTATGCATTTAAATATATTTTAAATATCATTAGTTTTCAATATTATGTCGTCTTATAAAAATAATAACTATTTTTAAGTTATACTGATTAATTTTTAAAATAGTCGTCCGCCATATTGGATCCACGATTTTGAATTTTGAAAAACCGACATCAGATTCGTAGTCAGCGACCCTGAAAACCCCCAAGTAACAAATATCAGGTAAATTGGATCAATTTTTTAAAAAGCCGTCCGTCATATTGGATCCTCCATTTAAAATTTTAAAAAACCAATATCAGATTCGTAATCAGCGACCCCGAAAACCCCCAAGTAACAAATTTCAGGTAAATTGGATCAATTTTTAAAATAGTTGTCCTCCATATTGGATCCGCCATTTTGAATTTTGAAAAACCAATATCAGATTCGTAATCAGCGACCCCGAAAATCCCTGAGTAATAAGTTTCAAGCGATTTTAGACATTTTTAAAATAAAAATGCATTGTATTGTCCATGGCAAAGATTTTAAAAAACTTGCTAAAAGTTGTTGTTTTTAACGATTTTTCACTTTTTTATTATTAATTTAATTTAAAAACGGAAACGTGCGTCGCATTCAGTATAGCTTTGACTTTTTAGAAACCACTTTGTTTTTAATTTTCATCCATTTTTGACTTTTTATCTTCAGTTTTTATCATGGCAAAGATTGTTAGTTTTCCGGCAGTCAGAGCAAAGTCCGAAGTGGCAAAGATCTTTGCCATCGGCAGTCAAGGGGTTAAGAATATTGAAAAGAAAGTAAACTGAAATAATCGGTGGGAAATAGTAATATAGTAAATATAAAAATGTCCTTAACATGAAGGGTACACGACGTAGCCGTTTTGAAAAAATAATTGTTTTGAATGTAATCAATATATATACCAAAATTGAAAATATAATTTTTTTTGCAGTGATAAAAAAAGATGTGTCCTGCTTATAATTATGGACGATCGTGTATAAGAAAGTTACACCATTGATAAGGAAGATAATTGTTCTGTCGCTAAAAAGGGAAAAAGTCAAAAGGAAAAGAGTGTTCTAGTAAGAAAAAGAAGGAAAAAAAATGAAGATCGGTGAGTTGAAGAAATGAGAAGAAGCGAATGGAATTTCAACGTGGCTTTGGGTGTCTGGAAGCTTTATAGGAGATGCTGGGCACCAATCAATAGACGCGCGGCGGCGCTCCTTCTGTCAGCGGTTGTTACGATACATGAAAAATAAACGCATTTTTTTTATTAATTCAAATGATACTAGACTTTTAGAAAAAATTTTAAAAACTATTAAAAATGCTAATTGATATTTCAATAATTTATTTTATTTAAATTTTGGTATACGATTTGTTAACAATACACCCACCATTGTTCCATTAATCTCTGTTACAAAAATGGCAAAAGTTACTTGGAGAAAACTGACTTTCAAAATGTTTTGCTATTATGGTTCAGTTACTGCACTAGAGCTATTCTACTTTGCTATAATTGATTTTAATATTGGTTTAATACTGAAGTAATCACGGTACAAGTGACAAAGCTATAATGGAAAATTATCATTTTAAAAAATAATTGAAGAAATATTGTCTTATTCTGAGGAATTTATTCTATATAACACTTGTAAAGGAAAGTTAGATTTATTTGGCTATAAGAGTAAAGGGGTCGATTGTAACCTATAAATTAAGCCACGTGCGATACATGAAAATTAGGATCAAATTCCGAACTGTGGAATAGGCTAAACAGTGAAAATACATTAAAGTGTTGTTTTCAATAAATTGTCTTCAATAACTACATCTTACTTTTGCTGACCATAGGTTACAAATCTGTCAAAGTTTTATACCCTTAAAATTAAGGTTCTAAGAACAAAAGACCAAGAATAGATTATACAAACGCTTGGATTATGGATTCTAGCGACACAGAACATATGTCATCTCACATTGAGTGGTTTACATTACTGTTGTAATTATTTGACCTGGCAGTACACCACACAGTCAAGCTTATGCTGTACTCAGAAAGTTATAGACATCACCCTCCATGACCTCATTAGTGGATGGCCTATGCTGAATCCCGGACCACCATATGGGTAATATGACCACTATATTGGACGACGGCGGATCATTGATGACGACAACGATGACAAGAAACAAGATTCGAAAGAGCAAGTGCTAACTCTGAAGTATGAATCAATTGAGAAGTCACCGTTGATGCAAGGGTCGATCGAAAAATGGTCATTCAGGGAGTTTCCAAAAAGTCATATGAATGATTTCTTTGATACTCTCGATATTAAATTAACAAATGATAACGTGAACGAGGAGTTAGTCGTTTAAAAAAAAACTTAATTTCGTCGGTTGCCGATGGAGATCAAACTCATCTGGTACAATCTTCAGGACTAGTCTAGTTGCAACTTGCAATTCAGAGTTTCTGAAATTGAGATTTAGAGGAGGAAATCGTCATGGATGATTCAACTCTTGTTGAAATGCAAGCAGAAGCTCAAAGCAGTAATGGACTATTTGGGGTACAATTTTGAGATGACATGAGGAAGTAATGAACATTAAAGTCCAACGCATGTGAAGACCTGAAGGAAATAGTGTGACTCAAGCAATTGATATGTGATGTGGGTTATGAAAAGCCACGTCTCTTTATCAGTACTTTATATTTATAAAGTTTATGATAGAAATTGTAAACCTTGGAAAATACAAGGCTGACTTCACGAATTTTTACACAAAAAGGAGTCGTAAAAATCCATAGTCCTCTAGATTTTAACCAACTACAAACAATATAATAAAATTTTTTTGATTTTATCACTATGTCGTCTTTGTTAATGACAAACCAAACCACTAGTTATCTCTTTCGTTGGCATTGAAGCATTTATGCGTCAACCATTTATTTCATATTTAACTTGCTTCAAAGTGAACTCTATAAGTTATAATATTTAAAATAGTAAAATAAGTAATTAATTAAAAGTGAGATTTTTAATATGAATGTGATTTACTATTTGTTCCAGGTGCAATTTTTGAACAAGGCACCGATGAAGTTCAGTCTGCCTTTACCTTTGCAATGCTTAATCACAATAAGAATACTTCGAAACGTAACTTTGAATTGCAAGCTTACGTCGATGTGATAAATACAGCCGATGCATTCAAGCTTTCCCGCCTCAGTAAGTGAAAGTTTACTGATTCTTTTGTAGTCAAAGTTTTTTGTTTGCTTCCTTTTTTCGTTTTATTTTAGTTTAAAAATTGCGGCTCAAGTTAAGCAAAAAAAAAATCTAAAATCTTTAAGATCTAAAAGCTAAATTTGGTTCTTTTATATTTATTCCTCTGATGTATAATAAAACATTTTCCTTTTTTTAATTACAGTTTGTACACAATTCAACAGAGGCGTTTTTTCGATGTTGGGTGCCGTTAGTCCAGACTCTTTCGACACTTTACACTCCTACAGCAACACATTTCAGATGCCATTTGTAACACCATGGTTTCCTGAAAAGGTATGACTGTTTCTTCTCTATTAATTAACTATTATTTAAAAATATATATTAGAGTGAATGTAACATTTGTAGTATATTTAAAAATTCATCAATTAATATTTGTTAAATTTCGCTTCCTCTTGAAAATATTGTTTTACAAAATTTTAAAATTCGAGTACATACTAGAAAGAAATTTCCATTATTACTTACCATGGAATTCTCTCATATCTATTAAATTTTTATAATATGGAGAATATAAAAATACATTTATTGAAACCAGGTTTCATCATTTCTTAATTTTTATGTACGAAATGTTATTCATTGAAACAATTATTATTATTATTATTATTATATTATTATTATTTATTATTATTATTATCTGTATGCGAGGAAGCAAAATGTCCATGAAATTAACACAATGAGAATTACAAAAATATAAAACTTGGCAGCGGTTTATTATTATTTAGTAACATATAGAACTTGAATTTATAAAGTACGGCACAACATTTTTTAAAAATAATAAGAATAAATTAATTTTTAATAATTTTTATAAAATTTTTAATATTTATATTTTCTTAAAAAATGCAGCAGCTATTAGAAACTATTTAGCAAAAAAATTCCATCATTGAAAAATCAATAACAAAACATTTTTTGCTTCCTCATAGGAATTTTTATAGTGACGTCGTATCGATTTCTGAATTACTTAGAATTAATTATTTTTATAAATTTACAAGTGTGGTGTATATATTTCGACATGAGGAACAATTATTCGACGCCTCCTGATTTGATAATGTTATTATAAAACGTCAGTTCAGTATACAATCTATCTCAAAAAAATCATATTTCACTCAAAAATTGTATTCTTAAAAAATTCGACAAAAACATATGATAAAGGACACATTAAAAGATAATTTTAAAAAAATTAAAATTCTCTTTTCATGAAATGACCTTCAAAAAAATGTTTTTGAAATTTAAAAACTGATATTTTTTTATTTTTTTGAAAAAAAAACATTGTAGATGTTTATATATTCATGGGGGTAGCAATATATGGATCGAATTTGTTGAATAAAGATGCGTGAGTTTTTTTGTACACACTTAGCCCCCTATTCCCTTTCTATTACCTTTTATTACACATATTTAGAAATATATAAGTTAATTTAAAAAAATGAAATAGAAACACTTTTTCAGTCAAAAATTAATTTAAAAAAATTAAAAATTAATACATGTTTCTTACATTTGCTCGTATGTGGGGAATTTTACTTGATTTTGAGATTTTCTTTTATCGTGAAAAAAGTAAATGAATAAGAAAAAAAATTCATGTCGTTTTTAATTACTAGATAATTTTAACAGATTGTATTCTTGCATTAATAGGAGACTCATATAATAGTAGAATAGTACAATAACAGGTTTTTGAATATACATTTTTCTGACGACACGGTTCAATAATTATTAGAATGCAAAGTTATTTTATTGACTTAGTAAAAAAAATTTCCTATTCTTTATTTAAATAACTAAGAAATTATTTAAAGAATTTATTTCCCAGTGTTTAAGAAGAAAAACGTCACTTAACCTTTAAGAATAATTAACTGTTTATTATTATTACTTCTAAGCTAAACCAAGGCCAAATATCTTTCTTCTCACTTTTCACCGTAAAACATATATATCTTTATAATGATTTCTTAATATTACGGAAAATTGACTAAAGTACAAAAATTAAAATTCACAAATATAAAAAATGATATTATTTAAAATACATACAACTCAATAATTTTTAAACAATGTTTATTCATAATGAATAAAGAAGTATTTCAGTTCAAAGCTTTATTCAACATTTCTCCATTTTTGAATTTACAAAATTTTTATATAATTGTATTTAGAAAAAAATACAAATAAACTGAAAATATATAATTATGTAGATTTACGATTCTTACTTTACCCTTAAAGCGCTCGCTGACTGTTTAAAACACATACTCTAATATATTTAAACTCTAATATCTCGTTTAAATTCGTAATCATTGAACACGTGCCATCGAGCGGTATTCCACCTAACTTTATGTTCCGTGAATGAAATTAGTCACCATTAAATGATGACTGAGAACAAATATTGGTTGCTAATTGTAACCAACAAACAACAATAAACAATGAAATCCAAATTTTATCAGTTGAGTTCAAACTTTTGAGCGGTAATGTAAATTATTGAATAGAATTGAAATAAAAAAAAATTTGTAATATTTTATATGCGAATAAATAAAATCTAATAAAGCATTTTATTTTAGTTTTAATAATTTTATTTATATTGCAATTTAAATTGTCAATTAAAATTTTTTTAAAACTTAAAATTACCTCTTGTTTGTAATAAAACTTTTTGATAAATGTTTTGGAACTTTTTAATTGATGAAGCTGCTATTTCTTTTTCTTATTCAGTTTCATAAAATGATTCGACTTTGAATCTTGGGTTCAAAACTAAACTAGAGTAATATACCCAATTACTTTTCTTATAATGATTTATAAGAAGCTTTGGCTATAAGATTTCATCGACTTTATTTCTGTCAATCTTCCTCTGTCTATTTCTTAATTTATTCTTCAAGTATATCGTCGAGCATGTTAAATCCGATTATTACCAAGGGAAGTATAACATATTTTTCGAACAAATAAGTTCTTGAGAAAGAAGTTTAAAATGAAATATTCGCCTACAGATTTTAGTAACATCCAATTATATTCTGAAATAGTATATTTCCTCTGTTTCAAATTGTTTTGGCAGAGAAGAGTTATTACACGTTGCATCCAAGTTCCACTAATGATCATGTCAAACGTTGAATTTTTCTTTTATTGTTCGGAATTGTTTTAATATTTTAAATAGTTGTCCAAGTTTGAAATTTTGAATAAAGGAAATTCAAGATTTGAATCATCATCTGTATCATCGTCTTCTTCTATTGACGCTTCACTCTCTTCCTTCCTCTCAAAATTCCTTCCTTCAAAATTATTTTCTTCCTCCATATTTTTTGATGGCATCTATTTTTAATACTTTAAACATATCCTGAACACTTAAATTTAAAACGTGGGCGCAACATCTAAAGTGCTGGTCAATGCTAAAAAAAATTCGGAATTGAATGAGATAATTCTTTCATAAAAGTTGTATTAACTGATGCATTATCGACTGTGATTCCTGCAATTTTTCCATTCAAATTATTTGTTTGGAAAAGTTCCGCATTTACCATCCCAGTGTGTTTTCCATTGAATGGTATAAAATATAGAGCGAGTGAATGCATTTCCCAGATTATCATTAATAAAATGTGCAGTTACTCCAAAATAAAATTGTTGGGCAATTGATGTCCATCTATTGGGACATGCAAATAATAAGTGTACCTAATGTGAAACGGCCTGGCTAATCTTAATTTAAAAGCTAAAATGCAATTAAACATTTCTTATTAAATTAAATACTATACAGAATAATAATAATTCTTATATCGTGTAAAATTTATTGAAATAACTAGAACCAATTTTAATTGCATTTATTTTAATTTTTCTAATACTGTTCCATAATATGAACGAAATTATATGAAAGCGTTCCATAACTGGGACCTTTACATTAAAACAAATAAAACAAATAATCCGTGGTTTCAAAGTGTAAGTGTCACAATTGATCATAGGAAGTTATATAGAAAGGTGACCTTTCTACATAATTCTTGAAGGTTCAATTGAAATTTCAATTTCACAATATAGTCATGTTGTGAAAACTGAAGTCGGTGTCAGGGTTGAGACATTAAGAGGTTATGTGGAAGTTTTATTTGACAAGTTTGTAGTAGTATCAGATTTGAAATTTACAGGTTTTTTTTACCGTTATAATTAAATTGGCTTGAATGATTACACAAAGCGGAATTAATTTTGGTACGATTTTCTATGAGTATTTATGTTGACATATTCTGTTTTTTTAATTGTTTAGTTTGGCCTCCATATATACACTCTATTGCAATCTTTTCATTGAATTTTATGAATCAGGTTGTTTTTTTTCAAATTTAGGATTTAAGAATATTTCAAATTTATTAATTTTATCTTTATACGGTCAATTATTATTATTTTTTAGAGTTTCAAAAATGACATTAATATTTTTTTTGTAAAAAAATTGTAATAGGGCAAATGGAAGTAAAATTAATCTTCAAGTGTGGAAAATCCAAAAGTGCAAAGAATAAGTAAATAAGAAGTCTATTTTGTTAACTTGTCTCAATCCAACAATGACTGAATTGTTACAACATTACCAAGATGAATGATTAATTAATTGCCCGCAACTACTGATTTATGTGTTGTTTTTTAACAAAACAAATAAATTTCTTTATTGTTTTCTTTTTGCTATAAAAAGCAAAATAAAAATTCACACTATACAGTGAAGTAATTATTAATTGATGTTTATTTAGGTATTGACGCCATCATCAGGCGTCAATGACTTCGCAATAAGTATGCGGCCGGATTATCATAGAGCCATCATTGAGACGGTTCAATACTACAAATGGAAGAAAATCGTTTACCTATATGACTCTCACGATGGTAAGTTTAATTCCTTACATAAATTTTTAATTTTTACACAGGGTGTCTACTGAAAATATGACTTAAAATTCCAGGACATTTTCAGGACATTCCAGAACAGATTTCTTATTTTTCCAGGACATTTATATATGTAACAGGGTTGCCACAAGTCAGGAAAGTCAAGAAATTCAGGGAAAAGTCAGGGATTTTTATTAAAAGTACTCAAAAAAAATTTAATTTTTAGAATTTATAGAAAAATTCTGAATTTTTCTGTCTTTTTTGTTTGCCTTATAAACTATGAAATTGCCAAGAATTCTAATACAAACCCTTCAATTTTTTCTATTTTTGCCAATAATTTCTTTTTAAATAACTTTTAAATAACTTCGTATAAATTCAATTATGTTCAAAAATTTTTAAAAATTCTCGTCAAAATTTCAATTATCTTTATAAATAATAAAATAATTCTTCTCCGAAATTCAATTATTTTCAAAAAATTTAATAAAATTCTTGGCAAAATTTCAATTATTTTCAAAAATAAAATGCATTTTCCTCATTTCAATTATTTTTGATATCTACTATTTTAATAAAATTTCCTAAAAGAATTCTATTATTTAAACAAAATTTTAATAAAAATTTAACAGGAATTCAATTACTTACCAATTTTTTTATAAATTTCTTCGCATCAATTCAATTATTTTAAAATTTTTTAATGAAGTTTCTCGAAAGAATTTAAATATATAAAGAGAATTGAAAAAAATAGTCTGAGAAATTCAATTATTTCGAAAAATTTAAATAAAATTCTATAACTAATTCTATTATTTAAAAAAATGTTGACAAAATTCTTTACAAGATATAGTTAATTAAATTGCAATTTTAATAAAATTTCCCTATACAATTCAATTGATTTCAATACATTTGTTCTTAAGAATTTAATTATTTTCACAAATAAATTTTTTTATGGGAATTTAATTATCTTTAAAAAAATGTTTAATAAAATTCTTCGCTAGAAATCAATTATTTTCTTTCTTGAGAATTCAATTATTTTTAAAAATTTTGATAAAATGCTTTATAAATTTGAAAAATTATAATAAAATCGGTCATAGAATACAATTATTTTTCGTAAAATACAACATTTTTTCTAGAAATACACTTATTGTCACAAAATGTTTGTAAAACTCTTCGAAACAATTTAATTATTTTCGTAAAAAATAAAATTCTTCTAAGCAATTCAATTATTTAAGAAATTTTAATAAAATTCTTCCCAAGAATTCAATTATTTTCAAAAATAAACATTTTCACAGGAATTCAATTATTCAACAAAATTTTTTTTTTAATTCTTTGTCAGATTTCGATTATTTTCAATTTTTTAATGAAATTTCTAGATGAAATTTAATTATTTTTCAAAAGTTTTTAAAAATTCTAAAAAATTCAATTATGATTTAAAAAAATTTGAATAAAATTCTTCACAAGAAATTAATTATTTTCAATAAATAATAATATTTTTTTCTGGAATTCAATTATTTTCACAAATAAAATTCTTCACAGGAATTCAATTCTTTAAAAAGATTTTTAATAAAATTCGTTGAAAAAATTCAATTATTTTCATAAATAACAAAACTTATCGCAGAATTTCAATTATTTTTATAAAGTTTCGAATAAAATGATAGAAAATTGCATTTATTCTTACAATTTTTTTTTAAATTCGTCAAAAGAATTCAATTATTAATAAAAATTTTGATAAAATTCTTCATGAAAATTTAATTTTAAAAAATATGCAATTACTGAATAAATTATTTTTGTTTGTATTTAAATAATTGAATTCTCGGGAAATTTTCTAATTAAAATTGATTAAAAGATGAATTTCACTTTAAATTTTAAATAATAATTGAATATTAAAAACATTACAGCGTGAATTTTTAGAAATAATTGAATTTTGAAAAGGGTTAAAATTAAAATCTTTGAAAATTTGAATTTATAGTTAAATAATTTTTCATGAAATAAAAAATGATTTTATTACTCTGTTATCTTGAATTTATTATAAAACATGAGAAAATCGATCACTCCGAGTCGAAGACTTGGAGTAGTCGATTTCTTCATGTTTTATTATAATATTCTCATAAGTTATTGAATTTGAGAATCTTAATTCCTATAGGAAAATAGTAATTATTAAATATTTATTTAAAAAAGAAGTTATTAATGTTCTTCAAGGCCAGGGAAAACAAGAAAATTTTGTCTGGAAATCAGGGAAAAACAAAATTTTTAAAATCCAGGACATTTAAGGACATTCCAGGACATTTTTTAAAATTCCAGGACATTTCCAGGAATTCCAGGACTTCAAGGACCAGTTGACACCCTGTTACAGACCTTTATTTTTTGCAAATGAAAAATAATTATAAAACATGTTTAATAAATAAAAAAATAGATTAGGAATTTGGCTTCATCAGAAGCTTTAATAGCATTTGAACTATTATAACGTCACAGTTTTACAACACAAACCTTTACCATATTTTGTTAATGAAGTTTTGAATAATTTTTAATGAAAATTGTTGGAACATATCTACAGTAATATAGGTTACGTCTTTTAAGAGCAAATTGATTGAAATTTTAGGTCTAAAAGGATTTTTGACCAAATTTTAACCTCTCAGTGAAAAGTTTTTCACTGTTAACACAAAATTTTTTTAAGTAAAATCTAAATCAATCTATAACAGAAGTAACCTATAGTAATGTAGATATGTTCCAACAACTTTCGTTAAAAATTATTCAAGCTCCATTAACCAGATACGAAAAAGATTTGTGTTGTAAAACCGTGACGTGATAATGGTTCAAATACCCTTAATAAATAGTTTGTGATGAGAAGGTAAGGAAAGGTATGGCTCTAATTGTAAGTGGAAGATTGCAAAGAAAAAAAAAATAAAATACATTGATGACTGTACTTTATATCTCATACAGATTTCATCACTATATCTCTGCAATTATCATATTTAATAATTTTTTTTACATCTACAAGTTTCCGCAATTATAGAACATGGAAAACGTTTTCAATCGGCGCGACGCCTGTGATTATTGAATTTCTTAAACTCGCACCAGTTGTTTCTATTCATCATATCTTGTTCATACTCAAGGAAACGCGACTTTATTTGTGCTCATAACAACTTTTATACAGTAAAGACATTATTCTTTTGAGTTCTCTAGCATAAGAATAATGAAAATTACACGATTTTTATATATTTGTTCTGTGACACAAAAATAGCCAATTGCAACATAGAAAAAAGTAATTATAATCATCAAGGAAAGTGTCACCATTCCACAATAAACTGGTATCAACAAAAAATTCACAATTAACAAGTTTTACTATTAGTTTCTTCTATCAATTAGTGTATAAATTGATTGCAGCAAAGTTAAATAAAATATCTGAGATATTATTCTAAAAATAATGTTTTAAATAATTTTATAGAGATTGAAATCAATTAAAATTGTTTATTACGACGTTTAGCTATTGACTTATTTGTAAATTAATTTTTATTAAGAAATCAATTTTTATGTCCATATTTGAGCATTTATGGTAAGTGTTAATTAGTGCATGGATTTTTATTCACTTTAGTGATGAATGCATTTAATTCTCAATATAATTATTTAATACTTGTGGAAATACACGCCTGTTAAACATTCCCACTACACCTTTCTCCTTGAACAATTTAAAATCTCAATTATATTAATGCTAGGAAACAGTCAATTTAAGCAGTGATTATATAAACTCTGATCAGAGTAAGTGAATTATTATACACGGAGACTCATTCTTTCACATTGTGCGTTCTTGGATAAAATCTTTTATTCACAAAGTGACTACAAGAACCAAGTATAGTATACAGTAAAAAAAGATTCAAAACTTTAGTTCACAATATCTTTTGAGGCTCAATGTGATTTCTTTAAAGAAATGATGTAAGGAAGTGTTTCATTAACAAACTTATTTTAATCTATACAGGATAATTTTTGTCTCTTTAATTCAGTTTTGTGCTTTCTTTATCTGAATCAGTGAGAACCTTATCACAAAATCAAAATCACCGAAAATTCTTAGTGTTCAAACTAGTGATTGCAACTGTCTGCGAGTGACAATGAATTGAAATTAGAAATACTTTCACTGGCTCCGCAATTAAGAGTGTAGTCGGGTACCTCTATTAAGTTCTTATAATAAAAACATTTAATTAAAAAAAAAATTTTTTTTTCTTCATGGCTAGAATTCCTATATGTTCAAATTGCACAAAATTTTAGTTATATATAATGATCTAATACATAGTAACATATATTATACCAACTGTCGTACTCGTCTTTAATCAAAAAAATTCTCGAGTTTGCCTTGTTTTATTCAAATTAACATAATTTCTGCAATAATTTACATGTTTTAATGTTTTTTTTAATTTTTTTAAGGATAATTTTCCGGTTTAATTGAAGTACCTAATAGTTATTGTATAATGTGATAATTCTTTGTAATAAATGCCGCACTTTTGAAAGATGGTTAAGGAAATTTGAATGATTCTTATAATTATTTTTGAAGGAAAAATGCTGTCTAAAGTAATCTAAATAATTTTTATAAATAAAGTATATAAAAATATTATAAAGAATTTATTTTTTAATTTTTTAAATTATCCTTTTCTGTTAAGAATTTTTTAATAAATAATATATTCTGATTACATGTGATTATTTTTTGAGTTAAGCTCATGAACAATAAAATAATTCTATTATTTTAAGAAATATATTAATGAAAAAATTTTATTTATTGGTTTTAATAATTATATTAAAAGTAATTAATTAATTTATCAGATAATATAAACTCAAACTTTATTAAAGAATTAAATAACATTTAATAAATTTAAAAAATTGTTAAAAATAAAAATATGGTTTTGGCTTAAAAATTCAAATTTATTTATTTTAAAAATTTATTATGAAAATGGGTTGTATTTATTTCAAAAATTAGCTACAAAAAGTCGTTTTTAAATGATGCCCGGGTACGAAATATCGACGATAGAGAGACAGATAAACAAACAGACAGTTCAATTAAAAAATAAGTAAAATTTTAAATCTTTTGCTTTTTTAAATTTTTCAAAAAAGGTTAATTTCTCCCTTTCTAATTAATATTTTTAAATCTGTAAATTTACAAACCTTTCTTAGGTGATTTTCTAACATTTTTCCTAATTTTATTAAAATCGGTTCAAGCGTTTTTGTCTGAATTCATTTTTTCATCCTCCCTCAACGAATTTTTCATTTTCTAGTTAAATGAAAACTCTTCCAAAAAGAATTAACAAAAAGTTAATGCTTTAGGTTATTGTCAAGGAATTTTTAAAATAAAAGTATCTTACATTGTATTTTTCAACTGCTTTTTAAACTTTTTTAGTGACTGACTTTTGACTGAATATAATTATCTGAAAGTAACTCTAGAAATTAAAATGCTATTATCAATTGAATAAGTTAATAAAATATCTCTAAATATCTATAAATACATATTCAAAATAGAAGTAAAAAAATGTAATTCAAAAAGAGCTAAACTCATAAATATTTTTAACAGTTCCACAGAGGATAATTATTGTCATATTCATTATTCAGCAGGTTGGAAAAAAATACTTACGAGTAGTTAAATATTATATTTTGAAAATAAATATTTATAAAAAGTTGAAAAGGAATATTTATCAGTAGTTAAATATTATATTTGTTATAAACTATTATTAACTATTATGTTAATTTAAAGGAAAAGATTTTAATCGCACAAGTGACTGGAAGGACAAAAAGGTAACCTATAATGCCCTTTTAACTTCATAGTATCAGGTGATTCCATACCATCCATTGATTCGAGAATAACTTAATCTGAAATCCAGTCAAAAAAGTTCAGTAGAATATTTTGTAGAATTTATGTAAAAATACTTTTTTTACTCTATAGAATGCTCTATGTAGTCATTTTGTAGAATCGTTCTATAGATTGAGGAAAATAGAATTTAACTTAAATATTTTAATTTTTCATTATCTTGAAATTGTATTATTCTTTCGATAAATTACCTAATTGACGTCGAGGTATAATGATATGCACTATAGATTATTTATTGTTTACTAGAACTCAGTTGACGATAAACCGGTTGAACGCAGAAGAGGTTTTGAACAGTTTCCTTCTCCTCTGATAAAAAAAAATTGATTAGACGAGTTTCCTAGGCAAATGAAAGTACTCCTAATTTAAAGCCATTGTGTAGACGCATCATATAATTCTAGTTTGCAAATTAAGCCCCTTAAAAAGTCAATTCTTTCGCAAATGAACAGCTAGGATTTTGGAGCAAGTCATTCTTGACTCAGGGGACGCGAAGGAATCACCTGATAGCAAGGAGTTGAAGAGCATCGTAGGTTACCTTTTATGTTCTTCCAGTTATCTGTGAAGTGTAACGTATAGAAAATAGAAAAAATAAACCATAACTGATCAAGTGCTATCAAATAAAAATGTCTAAATATATTTTATGAACTTTAAAAGCTGCTATATCATAAAGTGGAATGTAATTCAATTGTAGTGTTATGTAAAGTGATTTTTAGACTTCAAAACATCAATTTACAGATTGGAATACAAAAATACTCTCTTGATTAAGAAATGACACAAGGAAAGTTGTACGTTTTATACACATCCATTAAACTTACCAAGCTTAGTTGAATTTATCTACATAGTTTGTCAAAATGGACTACGCCTTTTTACGACAAGTTTTAGTTGGACTCGTATGTAAGTATTTAAAAGAAATTAAAAAGAAATCAAACATTTAAATGTTTCAATTTTTACTCTGAGTTAATGAAAGTCATCATCAATTTTATCAGGAGAAAGCATTAGTTAAACTTAGAATATAATGATTAAAACAATTGCAGGTAACCTCCTAATAATGGATAGTGGTTTTCACGAAGGTTGGAGTACGCCGTTACTGCCAAAATTGAAAAAAGATAAGTCGCTATCAATCGAGGATCATGAGACCGGATGGATAATAAATTTTCTCTATGTGGGAGTCGGTTTAGGTTCACTGATTCCATTTCTTCTTATGGATACGATAGGCAGAAAAGGCACCCTTCTCGTAGCCTCAGTTCCCAAAATTTGCAGTTGGATTCTTCTTGGTTTTGCAACCAATGTGACAACAATCTACATTGGACGAATGTTAGCAGGTGTTGGTTGTGGAGTGACATACTCAGTAGCACCAATTTATTTGGGTGAAATCACTAGTAAACATACAAGAGGTCTCCTCAGTACTATGATGGCAGTTCTTATCAATATTGGAATGCTGATTATTTACGCCTTAGGTCTTCATTTTTCCCGACTCACATCATCGATGATTGCAATTTCCGTGCCAATTATTTTCCTGATGTGTTTCATTTGGCTTCCAGAAACGGCTGTTTATTTGACGAAGAAAAACCGTCTCACTAGTGCTGAGAGAACACTTCAATGGGCCTTAAATAGAAAAAATGTTGATGAAGAACTAGACGAAATCAAAAGAATAGTATATAGCGAAAGTAAAGAGAGTAACACATTCCTTGAATCGTTAATGGACATCTATAGAAAAAGTGAAAGTAGACGAGCTTTTAAGGTGGTGATGATTCTTTTGAGCGCATTGACTCTCAGTGGAGCGCCGCCAATTTTAGCCTATCAATCAGAGACATTTAGTAAGGCAGGTTATGCATTTTCAGTGGATATTATCATTGTGATTTCGGGTTGTACGTTAGTATTAGCGGGATGTGTTTGTGTGGCAACTGTTAAAACTACCGGAAAACGATTGTTGCTTTTGATATCAGCACCAATTGCTACAACATCTTTGGCAACTGTGGCAGTTTTTTATACATTACAGGTGAATGGATTCGATGTATCTGCTATCCGATGGATTCCAATTCTAGGCGTTGTGGTTTACATCCTTTCCTATGGATTGGCATTAAATCCAATACCAATCGCTTATATCGGAGAAATATTTCCCAATGAAGTCAAAGTTCCTGCCGCTATTTTTTGCGCGTTATATTATGCGATTGCTTCAGTTGTTGTAGTCGAATTTTACCAGGTAATTTTGATTAACATTTTTCATATATGAATTTATCAGATTTAAATTTAATAATTAAGTGAAATTTATTTTTTGGAATGAAACTTACATCACCTTCCTTATTAAAAATAATTAAAAAAAACTTCTATAACCAACTGCAAAAAACTTTAATCTATATAATTTATTGTAGAAATATTATTATAATTCGTAACATTAGCTCAGAATACTTTTTTTTAAAGGGGTTTACGAATTGAATTTTTCCGCTAAACACAAATCTAGTTTCCAAAATGCTCGTTTACTTAATCTTATTTTAACTTTCACTTTCACCAAAAAAAAGCTGCAGGCTTGCTACAGAACCCAGAAAACCTGGAAAAGACATGGAAATTTGAAATACCACCATTTCTAGTACTAACCACAGATTGTCATCTAACTTTCTTATCACGTGTGAAAAGTGACTATACTAGAGCTCTAACTTATTCACCTTTTATTTTATATTTAATCAGGGATTTTTACCCCATTTTTCTTAAAAACCTAATCAAATAGAGCACTTTGGACACCGGATTTGTTTTGAACGTAAAATTTTCACTTGGGAGCATCTTGAAGTATTCATTATGCGGAAAAAAGTTTAAATTTTCAGGTCTATGCTTTTAATGATTTTTAATTTAAGTTATGAATTTTAATTTACAATTTAAAACGTTTTAGATAATAGAAAAGTCTTATGGAACATACTTGTCATTCTGGAGTTTTTCTGTTATTACTTTGATCTTGACATACCTCATTTACTTGTACGTACCTGAAACTGAAGGGAAGAGCTTGGAAGAAATTCAAACAGAATTAAAAGGAAAGAAGGCTATTTGCGAGGAAATGACTGATTTAAAAGAGTGCTCATAAGTTATTACTTACATCTCTGTGATGATTTTTTGCCAAGGCAGGAGTGACAATCATTCAGTGTGCTTTGAAAATCAATATTGATCTTGCGTAAAAGAAAAAGTTTAAAAAAAATTATGTCAACTGAATTTTTTTTTGAGTTTTATTGAATGTACTTTTATTATAAAAAAAAACTTTTTTGTTTGTATTTTTATGTTTAAATTCTTGCCTTATGAGAGTAAGGATTTCTTATTTTCTATAAAATAGATTATACCTAGTTAAAAATTCTTTTGAAGGATCTCATGTGATAAAGAACTTGGATAGTATTCCCATGCCATTTTATGTATTTTTTAACTTTAAAAGAAAAATGAACATTCGAGATCTAACAGTTACATGCTGTGAAATTAGTATATTATTACTAAAAGAAGTAATTTTTTGGGATCTGTGTTCATTATTAAATTTTAGGCTGGACATAGTAACAACATTAGTTAGTTAGTTTTTGAGAAATACATGATTTAAAAAGAGTTCTTTTATTCAAATTTTTAACAAACTGTTCCTTTAACTACTCTTAAAAGTTGTAAAGGCAAAACTGTGATTTTAATACCGAAAATAAGACTCGAATGATTTCCAAAAACGTCCTCTGAAATATTATAAATACTTTTACAAAAAATTAAAAATAAATTTCTGAACAATCTATTTTTTGTCCAAAATTTTACTATGCTTATTAACAGTAGTTTTTTTTATATTACATTAATAACTTTTAGAATTTAGAAGTACTAATTATACGAAAGGGTTTGTCCACTTTCTATTGTAAATAAATATATAAATAAATTAATTAAAAATTGTCATTCTTTGTATTTAAATAAATAAATTTAAACATGTAAGGTAAGATATTTACATAAATTTACCTCTTCTCTTTATTATAGTATTAAGATATTCGTCGTCGCTTTTTGTTCGTTTTGTCGTTTCACATTATCGTTTGGTCGTTGGATAATATTAACTGCAAAAAAATCTCTTATAACTTTAAGATATTCGTCTTCGTTTTGTCGTTCGTGAAACTCCGTACATCATCGTTTGTTCGTTGAAATATTTATTGCAAAAAAATCTATCAACTGTAGTGTCGTAATGTTGAGATCTCAAGAAATTCGCCTTCATGTTTTGAAGGGAAATCATGAATGAGATGGCGATTTCGTTTTCGACCCTGAATATAGCTCGTGCTTTCGATTGTTGATGAAAAATATTGTGAATCGACTTCCTTTTACCCCGATAAATTCTTTTACTCGGAACATCGATTAAATTTAGATTTTTACAGCTTGGCTCCTCTTTTAGCTAAATCGTCGGCTTGCGAGTTTCCAGGGTGTCCAGGAACGTGCCTCCAGTTGACATCCAGTGATGAAATTGATCAATCTAAATCGTGTAATTGTTCTTTACTTTCAACTGGCTTTCCTAACGATTATGTCCAACCGTTTGTTTTCTAACGAGGCATCCACTTTGTGCAGCTTCTGATTACGTACTGAGAGTCGATGTTGATTTGCAGTTTTGAATACCCCTATGTCGGCCTTTGATGACCACCTTCCGTTTTCCAGACATGCCCCGTTGAGTTGAGACGTTTTATTTTTGCTCTAAAAAAATACTGGCAGAGCTGGTCGGGAGCGGTGCGACCGTGTCCGATGGCCCTTTCGAGTCAAGTGAACATGTGAGCTCGGTCTCCGGGCACCAGTGTGACTAGACTGCAGAGTCAGGTCCCCTCACCATATTACTTCAAAGATAATTATAATAGATATTGATCTACTTGAAGATCTGAACGTTTAATTGAACGAAATAGCCCGCACTATATGATCAACTTCTATTGCATGTATTATAACAAAAAATCACTTTATAATACATTATCAACTATAAAAGAAGTGTTCTGATAACATAAAAAATTTTTTTTTTTAAATATAAAATTTATTAAACTGCAGTGACGCAATACCTACATTTCATAATAACGGAATGTTAAAACGATTAAAATTATACAAAGCTAATATTTTCTTTTAAACAATGCACTGATAAATTCATTAATTAGTGGTACAAAATTAAAAAACATGTACATCATGTTCTTCTTGTTATTTAAAAAAACTTTTACTTCTTTAAAATTTTAAACTTTTTCCCAAAATTTAGAAAAGTCGTTTCATTAATGAAAAAAAAAGAATATAATATTATATGAGCATTATATTTTGAAATGCAAATTTTGTATATAATAGTATTATAACAAGAAAAATTTTATTTTGTTGATCAAATCACTGTTATAAAAATGTAAATTAAAGACAGTCTTGTATGGTGAGTGTTATTTTTGACAAAGTCACGCACACATTATTGTTGTCTCACGACCTCTCTGTTAATAAATTACTTGCACTGACTGCGGTACAGAGGTAAGTTACATCCAGCAGTATTTCAGTCACATTTATAAAAATACAACAAACTGTCAGTGACAATTCTCTGTAGGGTAAATCTCGTACAACCTGAGGGTGGTTTTTTGTTTTGCATCTAGATTTTCTTTCTTTTTAACGACATATATCGTAATATATGGTCGTTATTCCAACATTCCGCTCAATTAGCTAATAACTCTTAGTTACTAGGGCCTCCCTCAGCCATATTTTCTATAGATAATTATATTCATACAAGTATACATATTTAAAATAAATAATTATTTTTTTAAGTGTAAAAAATGGTTTACTTCTGAAAATAATTTTTCAAATATGATTGAAGTTTGAGATTAATTTATTCGTTTAGAATTTGAATTAAATACGGGTTCAAAATTCATAACATAAAACACTGCTTGATGGTGTACATGATTGGCATTTCAATTTTTGTCTGAAACAAGTAAACAAATATTTTTCTTAAAAAGTGATAAATTTTCAACAGAGTGACGAAGCCGTTTTTGAAAAAAAAATTTTTACGCAAATGGAAGCACTTCAAAAATTGACTTCATGTTTTGGGCTAAAAATACCGTATAAAAAATTGGATAAAATTTTTTTAAATGTAGTCCGATTCCTTTTGTTGAGCTCTTCTTAATTTTTTGGCCTCCTTTGTCGTCTCCTGGATTCTCAGGTTGGCGATGGATACTCGGCGTTGGTCAACTTCTTCGCACATTTGCTGTGCATTTGGTCCGATTTTAAAATTTAATACTTCCTTTAATACTTTCTACCCGGGCACACAGTTTTTGACATTTTTAATTAATATTAAAATTTACGTATAAAACTCAACAATCTTTACTCTGTAGCTCGGAGCCAAAGAATGACAAGTTTCGTAAGGTGCAAAATATCTTTAGAAACGAGATTCTATTACAGTGGAAGGGGTACAATGAATAGGACCCTTCGTAAATAATGAAAGGGCCCCCTAGATCATTCGAAAGTGGAAAGTCGTTAAGAAGGTGCCAAACGGCTTCTAGCAGCTCTCGGCGCGCTGACTTCTAATGAACATAACTTTCGTAATTATTGAGACATTGTCTTCGGAGACATATCAAAATACTCGTTAGAATATAGACTTTCAAATTAAGTAAGAAAAAAAATTCAATATTTTGAAAATTTCAGGGTGGCGTAACCCCATGAAATAATTTTTAATAACGGACAAATTTTTTTGCAGGCTTGTGTTATTATTTGATAATTAAATGTATTGAATCTTAAACGTTACTCAAAGTTGTACTTTTTTTTATTGTTACAGGTCTTTTGCGATTACAGCAAATTTATCAAGGACTGAAACCAGGCAATGTTACGTTTCAAGTGGAAAGTGTCAAAAGAATTCAAAATGTCTCTGAGGCAATAGACTTTTTACACACATTGGAAGAAATCAACAGGTAATTTAAATTAAATATAATTTTTAAATTCAAAACTATATACAATGTTGTAGTATATATAGTATACATACAATGTTGTAGTGAACCGTACAAAATGAAATAATTTTTCTCTCTGCTGAGTCTATCAAGGAATAAGTTGTAGTAGCAAATCTTTCAGTGTGAACATAAAAATGAAATAATATAATTGAACAATAAATTTGTATTACTGCTGAGTCTATATAAAAATAAATTGTTGTCGTAATCAAGACCACAAATTCATATGAAAGCATTTAGATTTTTAAACAATCAAAAGAACCACATGGAAAACAAAATTAATAATTTAGTTTAAATCATCAAATGACACTAATTAAAAAAAAGTAAATGGAACTTGACTCCCTTCTTTATCAAAAGTGTACAACAAAATGAATTATTAATCTTTATTTATTTATTAAAATCAATCTTAAGTTAGAATAGTGAGTTTCAAAAAGATTGTCGGTTCCGCCTATTCGCACGTATATTCCAGAAAATATTTATATGAAGCAATTTAGAAGAATTACCAATTACATGGTCTACAATTATTTACAGGTGGACTGTCAAATACGTCGTTCTCGACTGCCCCACTGATATGGCTAAAAATATTGTTGTTAGCCATGTGAGGGACATTGCTCTCGGAAAAAGAACGTACCATTATCTCCTAAGTGGATTAGTAAGTTTTCTAGTGAAAATAAATTACATTAGATATTACATTTTCTCCTGAGTTTCATCAACTTACTGTCTTTTTTTGAAGTTATTCTATAGAATAACTATATGAATATATTCAAATAAATATTTCGTCATTGAAACTACTACAAACTTTAACAGCAATCAATATTTCAGGATATCCTATAAAGTCCTTGACGTATCAAGAAATTAGGATATCCCTCAGTTGTAGGTAGAATGTCTATGAACATTCTTGGAATATCTTCGAGAAATATCCTAATTTTCATTGAAATTATAAATAAGATATATATAAAATATTATAAATATTCGAATGCTGTGATTGAATGTTAACCAAGTGAATAAAGTTAACTCTTTGCATTTGTCTTAAACAGATAATGGACGACCGTTGGGAAAGCGAAGTGATCGAGTATGGTGCTATCAACATTACTGGTTTTCGAATCGTGGACGACACTCGACCCTATGTTAAAGAATTTCTTGATAGCTGGCGTCGCCAGGACCCAACGGTTCATCTTGGCGCTGGTAGACAATCTATTTCCGTAAGTATTACATGGTGTATAAATTGACTTGAAATGTAACGTTTCTGAACATCCTTTATAAAAATATTTGTGTTATTAAAATTCTAGAGTTAAGTACATTTTTTAAAAATTTTATTGCCTTCTTTAATGATAGGCGGGAGCGGCTTTGATGTATGATGCAGTATTTGTACTTGTCGAAGCTTTTAATAAATTTACACGAAAGAAGCCTGATCGAAGCAATCAAAGGCGGACTGGAGTACCAGTGCCAAATACACCAATAAACGCGACAAGATCACTTGATTGCAATCCTAATCAAGGATGGGTTACACCTTGGGAACATGGAGATAAAATATCGAAACTTTTGAGAAAGGTTTGTACACACTTTTTAACTTCTACTACTATTTGCCTAGAACATAAGTTTCTTTTTATCAAGGAAGTAATAATTTATTTTAATAAATTTGATTAGCCGATATCCATTTGAAAATACTCACATACGAAAAATATTTATATGATTTCAGGTTGAAATAGAGGGACTCACTGGTTTGATTCGATTTAAGGAAGATGGAAGACGATTTAATTACACACTTCATGTCGTGGAAATGACTATTAACAGTGCAATGGTAAAAGTATGTATTTCCTTTTTTCTCTAATTAAAAGGCTGATGATCACTTATGTAATTTGATTTCACTTTAAATTCGAATTTAATCGGTTGTTTTTGAGTAAAAAAATTTGTCCCTTCCTTGACACATTCTCATTCCTGCTTCACTTCCTCATTCATATAAGATGATAGTTTATCATTTATGCAAAAAGAGAATCCTATTTCGATAAAAAAACTGGCAAAAATAAAATATGTTCGAAAATGTCAAAAAACAAAGTTGAAACTTAATTCGAAAATATGATACAAGAATTCGAGAAAAGTATGATGATATTCTTAAAACACGAAAGTACTGTAGTGCATCAGCATAATGCGCTAAGAAATTTAAAGAAAACTTATCAATTGGAGAAGCATTGCTACACATGGATTGGAATGAGAATAGGTCAACTAAATACGCCGAAGAAGTCCAGAGTCATCATTTTGGTGGATCTTGAAAGCAAATCCCGCTTTTCACGCTGTAGTGTAAAGAAATTACTATAAAAATGAAGATAGGCATCAAATTTTAAGTTAGTCTGTCGGAGTCATTACTTCATAATGTTGCAGGAACCTGGACACACCTTACTTCAGTACAGTACTTTTCAGTTATGCCTTCACGTTCAAATTTTAAAGGCATAATTGAATACTACTGTACTAGACGATGTATTTAAGAAAACTAATGAGACATCGTTGCATTTTTTAATTAATGACCCATGCACTTAATACAAAAAACAAACGATGTTTAACTTTCTCGGTAGAAAACTTAAAAATTTGTATCCTACAATTAAAAATTATTCGTGGAGTTACCATAAATTTGGGAACGGGAAAGGAGCTTCTGATGGAATAGGAGCTACATATCAGCGAATAGCAGATCGTGTTGCCGCCGAAGGACAGGACGTAGCTGATTTTGAAACTTTAATATACACGCAAAAAAATAGTCCGGTAAAATTGACCAATCTGGGTTTGGTTGCAAAAAGTTCGGTTAATTGAAACAAAGGGCAGATTGTCTCAACCGAACTTGTTCGGTTGCGAAAATCAAAATGTTTTGGTTATGGTAACCAAACTCATTCATTTGTTACTTTAAAAACATTACTCTATGTATGTTTTTAAATTTCAATCTGTCAGTGGAGTCAGCAGAATATTAATATGAGTGGAGATTATAAACAACTGCTGATTAAATGGAATTTGGAAAAGTATATTGTCAAAAAACATGCTCGGACGTTTATAATGATATATCTCACGAACCGAATAAGATTTTTAAACTCTTTTGGTCTTAAATTAAAGATAAAACTTGAATGATTCACCTATGTAAATTTCAAACTTTTTCTCCAATTTTTAAAAAATATGCTAAAGTTGAAAAAATTTCTATAATAATTTTATTTAAAAAATTATTTTTGTCAAATTTGTCGATTGCTGCAATCATTGTATAAATTATTAAATTTTTCAGTTATGTATCATTAATTTCCAGTGATAGCTTTACTTTTTTGTAAATTTTTCGAAAAGTTGATTAAAAAATCAATATTTACAATAAATAGGCATATATTATTAACTTTTTTAGAAATTTAATTTAATTATTAATAATTTAATTTTAAAAAATGTTAGCCCCTCGTTCATATAGGAAACTGTACTATTTAGGGACCAAAAATCGGTTTTTTTATTTTTTAAAGTATGCAGTACCCTTTCGATCATCTTGCAAAAATTATATGTTACTTTTTACATGCTTATACTGCTACGACCTTTTGGAATAAATAAATTTATTTAATAATTAATTTTCATGTTTTCTTATATTATTACTAATATATATTTCGACTTGCGAATCACATAACTACTACAAGTAGCTAAGTATAAATAATTTCAACTTTACAAATTATAAATATAATTCTAAAGTAAGTGAAATAAAATTTACAATTTTAAAAACGAGATATAAAAATTTGTATAATATAAAAAAAGTAGAAAACGCCTTAAATATTATTTGTAGCTTTAATTTATTTGTTACATTAACCTATTTTAAATTCAAAATTCAAAAACAAAAAAATTAACACATTTAAATAGAGTTTCGTTTTCATAAACGGTCAGTTTGGTTAATCCAACCGAATTAAATGCAACCGAATTTGTTTGGTTACTAAAAACCGAGTGTGCGGTCAGTCCTATTTTAACAAGAGAGTTCGGTTGCAGAAAACGAACTTTCTGTTGAAACAACCAAACATTTTTTTGCGTGTAAGAATTGCAAGATAATTGTCGAAAAGTAATTATCATTCTAACAAAGGAAGAACAGTTTGATTATAAAAAAATTGATGAATGAAAATTTGATGATACAGTAAAACTGCAGAAGAGAAAATTATTCTTAAAAATAATTTTTTTAACTCAAAAATCGTATAAAATGTTTTGTTCGATAGACAAAAAAAGTTTTTATTTGTAGAACTGTAATTCGAAATGGAAATCAAATTATATAATAGATTGTACTAAGTAATAATTTATTATTTTATTCATGATTTAAAATTAAATATTTAAAACTTAATTTTCTTAAGGTGGCAAACTGGTCAGAAGAGGAAGGGTTCAAGCCAGTATCAGCGGAGTACTCAAGACCGAAATCAAACAAGGACAGAAATAGGACTCACATTGTGACGACAATAATTGTAAGTGGTAAAAGCTTAAACTTATCGAATATTTTTTTTGATTATTTGAAATAATATAAACCCTTGGGAGCAACAAAATAAAAAAATTTTCAAAATAAGTATGACCCTACTATGTTTACAAATTTTTAGTACCCTAAATAAAAAAACTGACCACTAAGTGGAAGGAACATGCATTTTTTTGGGAAATATTAAGTTAAACTAAGAATTCTAAAAATTTTGACAAATATTATGAGAATAAATATTATTTATTAATTACAGGAGGAGCCTTATATTATGCTCAGGAAACCAGAACCAGGTGACAATTTATATGGTAATGATCTTTATGAAGGTTACTGCAAAGATCTCGCTGATTTTATATCGAAAAGACTGAATATAACATGTAAGTTTATACTATATTTCAAGATCATTATTTTATTGTTTAATCGTTATACTGAAATTTGAAAGTACATCTAACTATATAGTTAAAATAGATTAAGTAGAGTTAAAAAACTAATATTTTATCTTCTTCTGAGGTTAGCTCTTTTTTTTAATAAGTCAGCAATTACACATTTTAGTAATGATAACATTCACTGTATGAAAAAACCTTTTTTTAGATGAACTTAGAATCGTTAAGGATGGAAAATACGGTTCCGAAAATCCAGATGTAGCAGGCGGTTGGGATGGAATGGTAGGAGAACTAATTAGAGAAGTAAGTGTTATAAATAATAATTCTGACAAATTCGAAATTAAAATTACAATCAAGCCAGGCTTGACTCGGAGTGATCGTTAAATTCAACACATAATTAGAAAGAAACTTAGTTATAAAAATAAATATTTTACAGGAAGCAGATATGGCGATTGCATCTATGACAATTACATCAGAACGTGAAAGAGTAATTGAATTTAGTAAACCCTTTATGTCTTTGGGAATTAGTATTATGATTAAAAAACCAGTCAAAACGATTCCTGGAGTTTTCAGTTTCTTAAATCCACTTAGCAAAGAAATTTGGGTCTGTGTAATATTTTCTTACATTGGAGTGTCAATTGTCTTATTCATCGTTTCGAGGTAATTTTCATTAAATTTACTAATTATTTACAAATCTTACTAATTAATTAGTTAAACAGTTACTTATGAATTTGTCAACCATTTACATACTTACCCAAGCAAAAAGTCTATTTTTGAAAATTTTTTTCAGGTTTAAATTATTGTATCGTTTAAAACCTCTTTGTATTCTTATTGTATTGTCTAAATCCTTTTTTATTTACAGGCCAAGAATTTTGATTTTTAAAAAATTATAATTAGTTTTTTCATCAAAACCCTTACACAGAGCTCTTGAAACAGCGCACATTTGTCGGAGAGACCCTATTTTATGCGAAAAATTAGAAAGATTGCTCCGGTTGCAACGAAAATTTATGATATTCTTAATTCCATCATGCTTAATCTGAATATGACATAAAATTATAACATTGACAGTTGGACAAATTTTACCAAAAATGAGAAAATCTACACAGAAATTTAATAATTCCGGTTTTGAGACTTGCTGATACCAAAATTTATGTTAACTCTTTTATGCCCAGCGCACTGTGGTTTTAAATCGAAAAACGGAGTTCAAAATAGCAAAGAACACGTAAATATTAACAGATGCAGTCATGTGGCTAAAAGATGATCAGAAAGGGATGGAAATTTAGAGTTGAAAGCATTGCGCTCAGGATCTTCGGACGAATGTTATTGAATGCCCCCATGATGTCGATTGAAATGACAATATTGTGCTACGATTCTGTATAACCCACTAGAGCATCTGTGACTAAGGATGCTACACAATAGATGTCCGATCTTCTCCTTCTAAATCCATATTGATATGGGGGAATTAGGTCCCTGGACTCCATCTCGTGTTCCAATCTACTCTGTACAAGCTTGTCAAAGATTTTGGAAAGAACCGGTGTGAGGACGATGAGCGGTAGCCCTATTAAACAGAATCAACAAGAACTCCTGTGCGATATGGCTAAGAGTTTTAATCATGTTTCCAGTTATTCCGCCCAAACCAGCAAAAGCTTTAAAATCATTTTATATGAAATGGCCGACCAAAAAATGCATAAAGATATTGGATTTACATGAAACTTGTTGCCCACAGGTTTTCAGGGTCGCTGATGACGAATCCATGATTGCCATAAAATGATAAATATAAAAATCCAGGTTTATTTCAGGATCACAAAATTTTTTACTGGTCCCAAACTATTGCTAGAACAATTCCAATTACTGGTAGTGAGTCAGTTTTTCCATTCCATTTTCTCCAATACATTTTTTCCAATCCATTTATTCCACTACCAATTTTTTTTCTAAAAAGTAATTAAATAATGTAACAATGTTTCAAAATTTTATATTATGTCCGATGGCTCGAAGATACTCCTCAATTTCGTCGTTATCCTTTTTTTCTTTCAATTTTTGTAATAAGAAATCCATCTATGTGTAGAAAAGTATTTTTTGTTCCGCTGTACACAAGTTCCACAACCATTTTACTTAAAATTTAGAATTTTTAAAAAGATCTAAAGATATAAAAAGATATGAAAAGTATCTAAAGATACTGCACGATTTTGACATTAAACCAATTGAAGTTGATTGAAAAACAAAAACTCAAACGCGGTACGATTTTGACATTAAACAAATTGAATAACAAATTGAAGTTGACTTTAGTTTACCATTCAACAATTTAAAAAATGTAGGGAATAATTAGTAAAAGAAATAGTGATTGGAAAAAAGAATTAGTGGAAAAAAATATTAGTGGAAAAAAAGGTTATTGGAAAAAAAAATTAGTGGAAAAAAAGGTTATTGGAAAAAATAGAATGGATAAACTGGTGTACAATCCCAATTACTATCTGGGTCATAAAAATTAATTTAATTCACAATTCATAAAAAGTAACCACAGCCGATAATCAGCAGAAGATGAAAAATTTATTTTTAAGCGAACTTTATCTTCTGTTTACTAACAATTGTTATTCACAAAAGTTTTTACTGGTGCCAAACTATTTCTAGAACAATTCCAATTACTATCTTCGTCACAAAAATTAATTTACTTCACCATTCATAACAAGTAACCACAGCCGATAATCAGCAGAAGATGAAAAATTTTTTTAACGAACTTTATCTTCTGTTTACAAACAATTGTTAGTCTCAAAATTTTGTACTGGTCCCAAACTATTTCTAGAACAATTCCAATTACTAACTGGGTCATCAGAATTAATTTAATTAACAATTATTCACAAAAAGTAACCACAGCCGATGATCAGCAGAAGATGAAAAATTATGTTTTAGCAAACTCTATCTTCTGTTTACTAACAATTAAAATAAAAACAAAAGTTTTTACTGGTGCCAAACTATTGCTAGAACAATTCCAATTTATTTAATTGCAAAGACGAAAGTTGATCCAAAGAAGTGTCCCACCATTCCATCTTTAGAACTCTATGCAGCTCAACTACTGACATTAACTTGAGACGTTGAGACAACGTAAGTACGTCTCTGAGCCTTCTGGTACTCCTTCTTTTTATCGCCTAATTCTCGTTTTGGTTTCTGCTGTCTGACTAAGCAGCATTCTCAATTCAACCACAACTCGTCAAATGGACGGATAGATTATCCCACTTTGCATGCGATTCAGTGGACTTCGACTGCTTCAGTGAACCATATGACATTGGTGTGGCGCTGGACAACAGCTCGAAAACATCATTTACATCAGAGTCATGCTTTCAGCGCCGAGTTTAGTGCTATACGCAGAAATCTTCCTTTGCCTTCTACCAGTTGATTGACTTCGCTTAATCGCTATGTGGAAGATGCATGAATTTTGCTTCTTAATGGTATGATTCGCAACGCCTCAGTTAAAATCGCAATCCAATTTCCAAACATTCTTCCAAGGCTGTGAAATTCGCCAATAAACACTTAAACTTATTGTGAAACAGATACTCCGCTATGAACGGTGGCAAAAGCTGGCTTCAACTCAATGCAGACTTGGCAGAGTGGAAATAGTCCATCATGGTCATGTTGTTCGTGGAGAACGCTTCGACAATATTTTAATGAATAGTAGAAGATAGAATATTGACTAAAAATGTTAATTGGTTTTTGTTCGCTCTGTTTTTATAATAATATTTAATTTAGAACTTGTTATAATCGGTTGTGATTATTAATAAAGACAAAATTTAATTATGCATCATATTATTTCCCTGCACCTTTTATGATGACTTCCCAATGGTCAATTTCAAATTCAATCTAACATTTGTGTTAAATTTTTATGGATCCAATTTCATAAAACCTGCTGCTGCTTCAAGAGTAGTGTTCAATTAATATATTTCATTAATAATAATCGAACTACCTATTTAGAATAAAAATTCTGTCAACGTGATTCAGTTTTAAATGAATTATACTTTATAAGTAGTGCATTGTAATTCAAAAAGTTTTCATTTCTAAATGTATTAATAATTATCATTAATTTAGGTTTTCACCTTACGAATGGAGAGTTTTATCATTCAATGGAGGAGATCCTAGATTGGGAATAAGAGGAGATCCTTCTATACAGCATCACCAACAAGGATTACCTCACATGCAACAATCAAGCATGACGAATGATTTTAGTATTCTAAACAGCCTCTGGTTTTCACTAGGAGCATTTATGCAACAGGGATGTGACATCTCTCCCAGGTATAATTGAGAATATTATTTATCATGTAGCAAATATATAATTTGATATATTTAAATAATAATTTGTTTCTAGCAATATTTGAAAAACGTTTTCTTTTTTCAGGTCTATTTCGGGGAGAATTGTAGGCAGTGTGTGGTGGTTTTTCACTTTAATTTTAATATCGTCTTACACTGCCAACTTAGCAGCATTTTTGACAGTCGAAAGAATGGTTACTCCCATTAATTCGCCTGAAGATTTAGCAGCGCAAACAGAAGTTCAATATGGAACCCTATTTCAGGGTTCTACCTGGGATTTTTTCAGGGTAAGCTTCTAAATTTTATTTATAACATGCTCTAAATATTTTTTTAATTTAATTGAATTATAAAACATTAGATGTTACAAAAAAAAAATACTTTTTATGTTACGGAATGATAGAGAGTCAAATTATTAAACATTTTCTCGATTGATTTCCAGAAATCACAAATCAGTCTCTATAGCAAAATGTGGGAATTTATGAATGCAAGAAAGGAAGTTTTCGTCAGTAATTATGACGAAGGTATAAGAAGGGTGAGAAATAGTAAAGGAAAATACGCCCTTTTAATAGAAAGTCCAAAAAATGATTATATCAATCAGAGGGAACCTTGTGATACGATGAAAGTCGGAAGACATCTCGATGCAAAAGGATTTGGAATTGCCACTCCTATAGGTTCACCTTTCAGGTATGTCATTTTAAATTCTAAAAAATTTTAGAAAATGAAAAAAATTATCATTCATAAAAGGCAAGTTTTAATTAAAAAATGAGGGGCTTTTCACTGAAAAAATTCACTTATCTAAAAATCAATAAAACTTGAAGAGGAAATAAAAGAAATTTAATAATACAATATTTAATTTATTAATTAAAAAAATTTTTATGGAATGAACAAATATTTGTTTTGCAGGGATGAGATTAACATTGAAGTTCTAGCGCTAAAGGAATCTGGAGAGTTAGAAAAACTTTATAATAAATGGTGGTATGATCGAACAGAATGCAGGCATGGAGATAAGCAGGATGCTACTAGAAATGAATTAACTTTAAGTAACGTCGCAGGAATTTTCTACATTTTAATAGGAGGACTTTTACTCGCTTTGGCAGTAGCTTTAGTAGAATTTTGTTATAAGTCACATTCAGAAGCTACGAGAGCAAAGGTACTGGAAAAATATATATATATTATATAAAATAAAAATTAATACGTCTGCTGTCATTTTATATGTATATTAAACATAGTATTCTTATATTTTTGTATAAGATCATCACGAATGCAATACTAAAAAATAAATCCATGGAATTTCCCATTGTTTTGTAAAACGTTGAATCTTCATTAATAAATAATCTATTTTCGTAGATTCCGCTGTCGGATGCTATGAAGGCAAAAGCCCGATTAACAATCGGGGGTGGTCGTGACTTCGACAACGGACGGGTAAGTAAAAAAGAATAAATTACTTTGAAAATTTTCTGTGGCAAGAAAGGCTGTTTATTTTTAACTATTGTCAAAGTGTTTAATATGGTTTAGTTATTTGTTACTAATATTTTAAGGGAGGATTGATTTAAAGCCTTTTAAGTATTATAGTTTTAAAAATATTTATCTATGAAATAATTGAAAATTAACTTAAAGTTGGTGAAGTCCTTCTCAACTCATCACAATTATTTTAAAGACTTTCTGAGACATTATTCTCGTCATAGAATCCCTAGGTTGGTTATAAAAGGGACACTAAATATTTATTATAAACACAAAACAGTGAAAACGTCGAAGTCGCAACTGATTCCTAAATCCAGTCCTATAAATATGAGTCCTCAAAAGTATATTTTCATTTTAAAATGAAAATATATAACAATAGTTACAATATATAATTATAGTTATATATGTTGTCATTTGATAAATAATTTCTCAAAAATGTCGTCAAAAACTTTCAGTTTTCTCATAGGGTTAAAAAATAAAAAATGTGATATTTATAGATGAGTTGACCTGGACTGATATCTATGCCACCAGCTGTTTGGATTTTAAATATATAAATAAATTTTCCATAACGTTTTTTTTAACAATTAATTTTACAATTAGTCAAGTTACGACTGCTGTTATGATATGACTCAATGCTATCGTATATAGAAAAAGCTTAGCATGTGATTAGCTGCGTTAAAAGATTATGCTTTTTTTTCTCATGAGCAGATTACTGATAATTGAGTATAAATGGTGGTGGTGGTGTTAAATGTGGTGTTAAATAAGTAACTAGGAAATAGAAAAACAGAACATTTTATTTGGGCGTAGTGGTAAATAGATTATTTGCACATTACAATATTTTTATACAATAATGTTCATTTACAAGTTCATCAAACAGAAATTTTACAATAATATTTCAGCTTTTTTTTCAAAAAGTTGGTTGGAATATCATTCGCAGTTTTTATTCTACAACCGTTTTTTAAAGTTCCTTACAGTATACATGAGTCGTTAGTTTTTCTGTAATATTTTTCGTAGTAATGAATAAATAATAAATGAAAACTTAGACGAAGTTGTAGTAAATCATGCAAATTAATTTCACTAAACAGACAAATTATCTGAACATATATTTTATGAATAAATTGAAATAATCCATTACGCCCCTGATTTTTCTTATATTTTAAACTATAAAATTAGCAACTATTATATTGAAAAAAAGGGAGGGAAAAGAATATTTGGGTTACAAACTAATTAAGGCAGTAGTCTCCTTTAGAAGCCGAAAAAAAGCGTTTTTTCAGCAATTTTTTTGAAAGGGAAGGAAACGACTGCGGTAAACGAAATTTTTAGGTGATATTCTACTATATTTCAGCTTAACAAAACAATTTTTATTATTAAAAAATATTGAAATTCTTCTAAGTTATAACGATTTTTCTGGAGCGCCTGCAGTCTGCACTTGCAAATCGGTGCCGGTGATGGAGGTCGTGCGATGCATCTGAAACAGTCAAACAAAATTTTTCTTTTAATTTTATAAGTTTCTTTTCTATTTAAACTAAAAAAATACCGAAGAAGTTATAAAATTCCAAATTTTTTCGAAGTTTGAATTCATTTTTTTTTAAATTCACTTTACGTTGCAAAAGAAGTAGTTTAAATAATACTTTTGTCCAACTTTTTTAGTTCAAATAGAAGATAATTTAATACTGAAGCTAGATCACTTTGATTTTTGTCGATCGGACAAATATTCTTTTTGCTATCGCCGGCACCGTTTTCTATGACGTGTGAAAATGAAAATTCGAGAAAACGCGCTTTAAAGTTTTCGGTCCAAAAAATGTAAGTTTTTGGATACTTACACTAATTAAATGTTAATCAGCTATTCCTGGGCAATACAGCAATCCTTCCTCTTCTTCGAAGAACTCATTTTGGCGGAGGCTTTCTGATAGTCGAGCTGTGCGAGCCTCCTTGCTCGAAAATGATGCTATGCGCTCAGCATCAATGTGTCTGCAAAATTTTTGCATTGCTGCCCGATGACAATGTCGAGGAGCTGCATAGTGGAAAACACAGATGCATAGGCTTCGTTAAAAATGCCTGCAGACAAATTTGCCGCTATTTCGACGATTTTAGAGACGGAATTGACGTGTTTTGGGTTTAAGCGCCACACAAGCGAATTGAACGCTTCGTTCGAATTTTGAGTGTTCGATATTTTAGGCCCATAAAGGAGACTATTGCCTTAAGCTACTAATATTCTAATATAAAAAATCTATTATTATTATTGAAAAAAATTGATGAGAAGAAAACTAAACTTACTGAAACAAATAGAACGCGGTTATACCGCTTGCATCCACGAATTCTTACTCTTTGGATTATTATTATTTTTGTAAATTATTTTTATTATTTTAGGCTACAAGTAGAAAGCTATGTTATCGTTTCGTTCTACTTTTTGTTTCTTGTCTATAGTGGTACGGACTGCAGAGTTAGACGGAGGATGCATGTGCCTTGCCTGGGACCATATGTGAGTACTCGCCCTTGATTAACACTCAGAATTTCCCTTCCAATCAAAAAAAAAAAAAAAAATCCACATACACAGGAACGCCGATTATATGGACTACAAAGAGTGTGTGTCCGAATAATCTGGACAGGAGAGCTTAAGAAAAATACATGAGATAAATGTCAACAACTGTAATATTCTTTCAGCGTTCCAATAAATAGAACTGTGAGCAGACTCAATATAACCAGTTATCGTATAATAGGCATTCTGTGTATTATAAACACCTAAAACACACTTTCTCTCTCTTCTATAACAACATAAAGTACAATTGGCGAAATCAACAATTTTTCAGTTCCAAATCCATAGCAAATAAAGAAAAAAAACCAGTCTTAAGTGACTTTTTTGCTTCAAGCAAGCCGTAAACTTTAATTGAGCCTTAGAGACTGGCGATCTAATGGTGATCTCGTCACAGTCTACTCTATATACAAAAATTTTTTTATATGATTTTCTTTTTGATACCAAATAATCTTTTCCTTTATAAATATTCACTGATTCCATTTGAAACCTGCTTTTGATACACGTCTTGGCTTATCGCATACAAAGAGGCATGGCTTAAGGCGAAGTTTTTTCATTCTTATATAGATGAAAATGTATTGAGTTTTAGAAATAGTCGCATGATGAAAAGTTTTTTAATTTTTGCAAATAGAAGCTTAGAATTATCAACTGATTGATGAAACATATGTTTGAAATAATTTTAAAACTATTAATTATTAAACATAACTTTTTCTACAGTTCTGCTTATAACTTTACTATAATTAATAGATCATGGAAATTTCCTTCTAGTACATGGGATTTAGATGAACCTGTGGTTTATTATTCTCTCGAATGCAACCAAAAAAAATGGTGAAGCTTTTTTGGAAAATATTTGTAAATATAGGAGATATACACTTTGAAATGTTTATGAATATTTTTCCAAAAAAGCTTCACTAGTTTTTTAGTTGCATTGAAGAGAACAATAAACGACAACTTGTTTAAAATTTACGCCAATTTTCACTATCATTTTCGTAATCAGCGCATTAAAATTTGTTCAATAGATTTTTTAATAGATCAAATTTAAGAAATTTAAAAAAAATTTTGCTTAAGGAAAGGATGCTCTGATCCCAAGCCCAGAAGTTTTTTCTATCTTATGCGACCTTGTCATAATTAAGATTTAAAATATGAAAAAAACATTTTATCTATTTTTCTGTCATAATTTTTAATTTAAAATATAGTAATTGTTTGTGATATTAATTTTTGCAGTATTACGCGCCGGCCAACGCGATTGGCAATACGGAGGCCGATCAAGTACACAGCAATACACACACGCAGGTTTAAGTAGTCAAGAGGATTCACCTGCAAATTCTCTGCCAACACCGCCGCCACCTCCATTGCTCGCATCACTTCCTCCACCCCCGCGAAGGTCATTACGAAGGAGCGTCACATTTGCAGAATCACCTCCCAAGAGTCCAAGGCCGAGAAATCGAAAGCTCAATGTCTCGACATTAGATATCGCAATACCATGGACACCAGCGTCACCTGGACACTGGATTAGTCGCGCAACAAAACCCGAATACATAGCTTGATAAAATTGACCTTTTTTTTTATTCTACATGATGATGGTTGTTATTATTATTACATTTCTCCAAATTTTAGCATTTTAATTTGTGTGAAGAACAATTAACTGCTCATTCGATAAATTTTAAAGAATCATCCGAAAAGATTGAAATCCACTTGGAAAGTGTAGATAAATTTTCTTTTTGAATAAGTTACCATTTGCATCCGTGAATTGTATATCATAAGCACTTTTAAATACCTAAATGTAATAAACAATTTGTAACTTTTTTGCCATTTTTTGACCAGATGCATTTAAGTTTTAATTGTGAAAGATCATTATGAGCGATATTTAAAATATTATTATTAAATGTAACATTTTAATAGAAAAAAAACCAATACAATAAAATTTTTATATTCATATTTTAAGGATGATTCTCTTAAAAGTGACATATCACGCGTTAATGGTGTTTTTTATTATATTAAAATGAATGTAAATTATTAAAAATTCTTCCAGTTGTACAATAAAAACATCTTAAATGGTTAATTGTTCTTTCTGAGAGAATGACTCTGTTAGCAGTTTTAAAAGATGAAAAATCAGCCTCATTTCTCGATCCTCCATTTTAAAGGTTGTTTTTTACATCTTATAATAAATTTAAATCTCTTCAGTATTGAATTTGAGAAATGTAATAATTAATAATGCAGCAGATCCGGTTTATCCTTCTCAGAGATTCTCGTACACATTTCAGAAAATATTAAACATATTTTGTTAATTTAAATAATTTTTATTTATTCAATTTCTCATTTAGTACTGAGTATTAGTTAATAACTTTGTGTTGTCATATTAGAAAAAATGTAATATAAATATAGTTTAAACAAAATTAATGAAGAAACTCTGAAGAGCGATATCAAATATCTGTATTTTATTTAAAGAAAAAGAACCATCGATTACAAACTATAATTTACTCTTTTTATTTAAACCGACAGAATGGTATAATCAACTATCAAATCTACCAAAAAATGTAAATATATAAATGAAAAGAATTGACGATAGAAAATCAAATTATTGCAAAACAAATTAAAAGTGAGTAAAAGACGGTCCTGGGGTAGGTGCATGTGAAAAAAAAAATAAAAACTCAACGACTGCATAAATACGCAGATATTTAAAACGTATATATTTTCACCAAAGTTCCATATAAAAAAAAGAAAGAGTTGTACGATAACATTCGAGAAAACGAACTCGATTTATTATTACCGTGCAAAGTGAAAACTGCGATTATTATTCGTATGCGATAAAAAGAAAAAACTAGTGACTATGAAATAATGCGCAATGTTCTTATGATGTGTTAATTAAAAAAAATGTATTAGTCAAATTATTTTTTTAGTAGCCTGTGATTGTCAGTTTACGTCATTAGCGCCAATGTTATTTTATAGGCCACTTTTCTCGTAAAAGATTAAATAGATAAAATATGTGCTCTTAGAAATGTCAGTATGTTTAAATATTGAAATGTTTTATTAATCAACTGCTATAAAAACAAAATAAGTGAAACTGGACACTATATTTTCAACTTTCTAAAGAATACATTGTTAATAAAAACCCCAATTTTTGGTTTTTAAAAAAAAGCAATAATTTCGTAAATGGCACCCTATGTCCGCACATGAAACCTAAAATTTAAGAAAAGTTATCCCTAATGATTTTCATACTCTCAAGATACTTAATAAAATACAATGTTTGCACATACACACACAGTCACATTTTTAAAAATGTGATTTTTGAATTCTTGAGGTCAAAAAACAAAGATATGCCAAAAAAATCGAGATCTTACGAGAAAATGGTCCTATAATTTAACATTTCTGCGATTACTTGAGGCGCATGATTATTCCCCAAATGTCATTTGACCGTACTGTCATTTTACTGAATTGCATTAATCCGAACTGTTATTTTCACGAAATGTCACTTTTGCGAATCGACATTTTCACGAATTGCCACTTTTGCGAAATATCATTTTTACGAATTGTCATTTTTACGAAATGTCACTTTTGTGAATCGCCATTTTTACGAATTCTCACTTTGCGAATTGTCATTTTTTCGAATTGTCATTTTTACGAAATGTCACTGTTGCGAATTGTCATTTCGTAAAAATGACAATTCGAAAAAATGTCAGTTCGCATAAATGACAATTCGTAAAAAATGACAATTTGCAAAAATGAAAGTGACAATTTGTAAAAATGGCGATTCGCAAAAATTACATTTCGTAAAAATAACAATTCGAAAAAATGACAATTCGTAAAAATGTCGATTTACAAAAATGACTTTTGCAAAAATGACAATTCGTAAAAACGGCGATTCGAAAAAGAGACATTTCGTTAAAATAACAGTTCGAATAAATGCAATTCGGTAAAATGACAGTTCGGTCAAATGACATTTGGGGAATAATCATGCGCCTCAATTACTTGACCTAATATTAACACGTTGTTTATTAAAGAGTAACACCGAATAACAATATTTGTTTCAATAAACATCCAAGAAATATATTAATATCCGGATATGCTTAAGATGTCCGTATGATATCCCAAAAAACAATATAGTCACAATAGATGATGTGCTATGTTTGGAAAAACAGTCTCCATTTTTCCCGTTGTTATCATTTCATTTTTCAATTAAAATTAATTAAAAAAATGTCTATTGTTACTTATATGTACTAAAAGTTGGAAAAAGGCTGATTTTAATTTTTCTATGTATAATTAAATAAGAATAAAAATAAATAAGAATGCATGAGATTTGAGGAATAAATGATCGAGTCGATGAATTTGAAATTAGAAAATAAGTAACGTTTAAGATTAATAGCTTAATTAATTACATTATGCTAGCTCGTACTAGTCCACGATTAATGTACTCTGGTTAAGTTTCTCAAAATCAGTTTTTCATACATTATCGAAAATGTACATTAATTCACTGTGTCGTTGAATTATTACGATCTAGCCTTTGTATTCAAGTTGCAGACGCATGCAATAAAATAATTTCATTTTCAATTCCACTTCAAATGTGTCTGTACCTTAACATTAATTTTCATTTTATCTAAAATTTAACTAATACTTAAATTTTAAAATACCTTTATTTGTATAAAGCAAAGTGAAAGTTTTAGATGAAGAAAAAATCAAAATCATAGTTAAAGTCATTGATGAAATGAAGTATAGATTTGAAGTGAAAGTCAAAATGAATTTTAACAATTTATTGCAACCTAGGGTTAATATTTCTACTACTAGATATTTTATTTTAATAAATAACAATTAAATATAAAATATAGAAAATAATTTTAACCTTTAAAAAAAATCACAAATTATATTTACATCTAATAAAAGCTGAAATTAATCAAAAATGATTTTTAAACTATTAATTCATTTCTAATATCTGGTAGTTGAAATAAAAATCCAAAATGGTCAAAATTTTGTGCCAAAAGACGATACCTCAATTTAATTTAATGTCACAATATTAAATTGGTTACAGAAGTCATTAAAAGCATTTCTTAAATGTTTACTGTAACATTCTGTGACATTAATTAAAGAATTTCTTTTTTTACAAATCGACAGTGGAACGGATAAATATATAGATACTGCCACGTACGAAACGGGAACATTTTCATAAAAAAAAATTTCCCGCTATGGTCAAATTTTCGAAAATATACTTGTCATTAAAAATAATATTCATTTTTAAATCCCGAATTTCGTCGTCTCTTTTCGACTGACTGACGTTAATAATAATAATTAATAATAATATAAATATTATACAATTTTAAACACACGAAGAGTGCGAACAGAATAGACAACTTTTTTCCAAGGAATAGTTTTGTACCTAGCAGTACTATGTAAGACCGATCTATCATATCGTCAAATGTTTTTACTACTGAAAAATATAATGATAATTGTGTGCGAATAAGGGAAATTGAATGTAATAACGAAAGAAAATTTACTAAAAAAAATATAATAATGAATAAGTTACATATGTATATTTAATGAAGGATTATTATTAAAAGAGCGCCATGAGTCGAAATTAATTTCTACATATTAAAACTGCTTATACCTAAAGACTACTTTAAATCAACATAATATTTTCAAACTGCTACATACACTTTTCCGGTAAAGAAAGAAGAATTTTTCAATCGGTTTAATCACCCGGGGGGGCGATTCTGTAACTTTCCCACTTTTCACCTTCCACTCTCACTTCCTACTCCTACACCCACTTCCCATTCCCACTCTCACTTCCCACCTTCCACTTTCACTACCCAGTTCCCACCTTCAACTTTCCACTCTCACTACCCACTCCCACTTCCCACTCCTACACCCACTTTCCACTCTCACTTCCCACATCCACTTCACACTCTCACTTCCTACTCCCACACCCACTTCCCACCTGCACTTCATCTTTCCTACTCCCACCTTCCACTCTCACTTCCTACTCCTACACACACTTCCCACACCCACCTTCCACTCTCACTACCCACACCTACACCCACTTTCCACTCTCACTACCCACTCCCACTTCCCAACTTACACTCTTACTTCCGTGTCCTACACTTACTTCCCATTCCCACTTCTCATTCCGACCTTCCACTTTCACTACCCACCGTCAACTTTTCACTCTCACTACCCACTCCCACTTCTCACACGCACCTTCCACTTTCATTACCCACTTCCCACCTTCAACTTTCCACTCTCACTACCCACTCCCACTCTAACTTCCAACTCTTACACCCACTTTCCACTCTCAATACCCACTCTCACTTCCCATCTTCCACTCTCACTTCTCACTCTCACTTCTATTTCCCACTTTTACTTCCCACCTTTCAC